CGCTGGCGGTGCCCTCGGCGGTAGCGTGTGGCGGAGGGGTGCGAGAACTGCCGGTGGCGGTGGCGGTGGCGGTGTCGCCAGCTGCGGCGGCGGCCACGACGGCGGCGGCGGCGGCAGCGAGGGCGGTGGCTTCTCCGCTGCCAACGCCGGCAGAGGGGGGCGAGGAGGAGGAGGAGGAGGAGGAGGAGGAGGAGGAGGAGGAGGAGGAGGAGGAGGAGGAGCGGGAGGAGGAGGAGGGTGGGGGGGGGGAAGAGGCGGGCGGGGAAGGAGACACGCCGACTACGGCGGCCGGCGACCGCGAAGCAGCGGGCGCGGTGGCGGGTGTGGCGGGGCGAGGCGGCGACGGCGAGGTGGGGGGCGGCGGAGTGGTCGGGTGGGTGGTGCCACCGTCGCTTCCGCCCGCTCGCGCGGAGGCGGTTGCTCTTGCGGCGACGGCAGTGGCCACACTCGAGGCGCTCCCTCGAGCGCTCCTCAAGCCGGCTCTCATGTAATCGACATGGCAGGGAATCGTACGACAATGCTAGGCCGAGGTGCTCACGCAGTCTCCTCCGCTGCTGGCGGCGAGATACGCCGCGACCTTCGCGGCGGCGCCGTGCCGCGCCGCGCTCCCACCGCCGATGGCGCGGTTGTGCGGCCTCTGCAGCCGCGCGCTGCTGCTGCAGGCGCGTCTGTTGCGTACTGCATCATGTGTTACCACCCCGTTGTAGCATGCCACAGCCGCTCCTCCGCTTCGTGCGCAGCCGCTCGCTCCCTCCCGCTCAGTGCGAGGCGGGGGATGCCGCCCGCTGCGTCGCCGTCGACCCTCTGGGCGAGAGAGCAGGTGGGGCAAGCCGCCTCTCCGACCCCTCACGCTGCTGCTGCAGGCGCGGCGCAAGCTGGACGCACACCGGAGCAGGCGGCTGCTGAGCTCGCTTCGCATTCTGCCGGTCGAGCACTCTGCTCGGGCTGCTCGCCCCGCGGTTCCCTCCTCCCCCACTGACTCGCGGGCTGTTCCATGCACCAGGTGCGCATGTGGCTTGCCACCAGCCCACTCTTTCCTTTGCACCTGATGCTACAGAGGGCTGGCAGCGCGCTGACACGGGGAGAGCCCATCGCACCCCGCGGCGGAAAGGAGAGCCCACCGAGCGGAAGAGAAGTAGCGGGCTGGCTGGCCACCCCTCTCCTGAGATCGTGTGCCATGCCCCGTGTGTGTGCTCCGCGAGTGTGCGTGCGCCCCGTCGTCCGTGCTAGGACGTGTCTAAGACGGACGGGCTGTCTATGAACTAGGTCGAGTCTCTGGTCAGCCTGCTCGCCTCGAGGAGCAGCGACCCGGCGCCGACCGCTTCCGCCTGCCTCCCCCCCTAGATGCGCGAGATGTGGCGTACTGCATCATGTTGCCACCCTTCGGAGCATGCCACGGTTCGTTGTGTTCGCGACATGCTTTGGACACACGGACGCCGTGCTCCCGACCGAGGCGTATTCCGCATCCTAGGCCTCCGCCTCATCCTCGAGATCACGCGAGATTACCCGAGATCAGCCGAGGGTACCCGAGAGTACCCGAAAGTAGGCCTCCGCCTGGTCCTCGCCCGCCCTCTTGGCGGGCGCTCTGTGCTACAGCGCATCGCCGCCACATCGCTCGCGCCCAAGGCGAGATCACATGAGATCACACGACACGAGATCACACGAGATCACACGAGATTGCCAGCCCACCTCGCTCGCCCCCAAGGCCGAGAGGCGGGACGCGGAGGCGCCTCCGTCACAAGTGCGCTGCGATGGCCACCCATTCCTTTTCCTCCTAGGCCAAGCGGCGCTACGTGGACGCGTGCTCCAAGCGGTTGCCGCCGCCCCTCCGCCGCGCCCTCGCCGCCGCCATCGCCAGCCAGGCCGCCGCCCGCTGGGAAGGCGGTCGCGCGCCCTTCGCTTCGGCCGAAGCCGCGGCGGAGCTGCTGTTGCTGCACGCCCGCGCAGTGGGGGAGGAGGCGGCGGCGTCGGAAGCCCTCGGCGGCCGAGGAGGCGGAGGCTGCCTGGCGGCTGCTCGCGCGGCGCTCGCGGCGTCGCACGAGCTTGAGGCACCGCACGGGAGAGCGGAGGGTGTAGCGGGGACGTGGGGCGGGGGCTGTAGCGTGAGCTGTAGCCGAGGTTGCGCGTGCGTCGAGGCGTCGGCGCGTTGTGGCGAGAGCAGACGCCGCCAGCCCAGGACATGTCCAAGACACGTCCAAGACACGTCCAGGACACGTCCAAGACACGTCCAGGACACGTCCAGGACACGTCCAGGACACGTCCGGGACACGTCCCCGTCAGGCGGGTCGCTCATTCGTGGCCCTGCTCGGCGACGACTCTTTCGAGGTGCCCTTCCTGCTGCGCCGCTGTCCCCCACTCCTCTGCTCTTGATCGCGCAACAGCCGCCGTACCTAGGCGGCACTCTCCTCGCTGCTGCCGCTCTGCGCGGTGCCGCTGCTGCGCCTCGGCCTCTCGGGCGACGTGCCGCGGCTGGTGCCGCACGCGCCGCGGCCCGCCACCGAGTGTGGACAGCGTCTCTTCACAGCACGGAGTGTGAAAGCAGGTGTCGCACGCACTGCCGGCCACCGAGTCGCTCCTCCGCTTCGTGCGCAGCCGCTCGCTCCCCCCCGCTCAGCGCGAGGTGGAGGATGCCGCCCGCTGACGCCGAGGCGCAGCCGCCCCTCCGCGACACGTCCTGGACACGTCCGGGCTAGGCGGGGATGTCCCTGGCTCTGGACGACATCGCCGGCGCCGTCGTCGGCTACGTGCACCGTGTCGCCGCCGCGTCGGAGGCGCGCGGCGGTTCCGCTCGCGGATCTGGCCGCGAAAGCGGCGGCGGCGGCGGCGGCGGCGGTGATGGCGGCGGCGGTGATGGAGGTGGCGGTGATGGAGGTGGCGGTGATGGAGGTGGCGGTGATGGCGGCGGTGGCGAGTTGCGGCGGTTGCTAGAGTGGGCGGCGGCGGCGTGGCGCAGCCTCCGCGTCGCCGTCGATCCTCTGGGCGAGAGAGCAGGTGGGGCAAGCAGCCTCTCCGACCACACCCGCCGCTCGCTCGCCGCCCTCGCCCTCGCCACGCGGCTCGATCCGAAGGTGCAAGGCCGGCTGAGTCCGGAGGTCGAGGCGCCGCTGCTGAGGCGGTTCGAGGAGCAGGTGTGCGCGGCGGCACCCGAGTAATATACTGTGAGGGTCCGGGCACGTGATTTGCAACTATTGTTCGAGTGTGAAGGGCGGCCTGTACAAAAGTAACATATGTTCGCGCGAGGACACACAAATGTTTTTACTTCCAAAACCCGGACACGTGCCTCCACCGGCACGCCGCTTCCGACAGGGTGACTGATGGAAGGTTCGAGACGCACCCCCGGACTGGGGGCATGCACCCAATGTGTACGTGCGATGCCGGACGGGCGCGGTTCCACTCCTCCGCCGGCGCAGCCTCGCCGCTGACCGCCCGCGCGGGCGGCTTGCTGCCGGCGCGCCCGCCGCTCAGGCCCCCCCAGCCGGTTCTTCTTCGCCATCTCCATCGCGATCCCCGCTCCCACCTCTTCCATGAAGTCTGCCCGCGGCGACTCCACCTCGATGCGCCCGCCGTTGAAACGAGCTGAAACAGATGCGTCCGAGTACACGCCACACGCGCACGGCGCAGTCATTTGCATGAGGCGGCCGATCAACCCGCTGCCCAAGCTCGGCTGCGCGTGACTGTCTTTTGAATCTATCGTGCGAGCACTGCGCCGCAAGTGCGTCGAGGCGTCGGCGCGTTGTGGCGAGAGCAGACGCCGCCAGCCCAGGACATGTCCAAGACACGTCCAAGACACGTCCAGGACACGTCCAGGACACGTCCAGGACACGTCCGGGACACGTCCAGGACACGTCCGGGACACGTCCCCGTCAGGCGGGTCGCTCATTCGTGGCCCTGCTCGGCGACGACTCTTTCGAGGTGCCCTTCCTGCCAAGCGGCGCTACGTGCAGGCGTGCGCCAAGCGGTTGCCGCCGCCCCTCCGCCGCGCCCTCGCCGCCGCCATCGCCAGCCAGGCCGCCGCCCGCTGGGAAGGCGGTCGCGCGCCCTTCGCTTCGGCCGAAGCCGCGGCGGAGCTGCTGCTGCTGCACGCCCGCGCAGTGGGGGAGGAGGCGGTATCGAGATCGGCTACTTTCAGGCGCCTGCTGCGGCGCTGCTGGCGCTTGGAGGCGGCGGAGGCGGCGGAGCTGAGAGAGCGGAGGGCGAGAGAGGTGTGTGTGATGAGATATTTGATTGAGAGAGGCATGTATCGAGATCGAGAGAGGCAATTAAATATTAATTATCGAGATCGCACGAGATCACAGGCGCCTGCTGCGGCGCTGCTGGCGCTTGGCCGAGGCGGCGGAGGCGGTGGAGGCGGCGGAGGCGGCGGAGCTGACGTGGATGGCGGCCCGTGAGAGGTGTGTGTGACGAGATATATGATCGGGAGAGGCATGGATCGCGGTAATTATCGAGATCGCACGAGATCACAGGCGCCTGCTGCGGCGCTGCTGGCGCTTGGCCGAGGCGGCGGAGGCGGTGGAGGCGGCGGAGGCGGCGGAGTCGAGGCTTGACGGACGTTTGCTGAAACCTGAGGGGTGGCCCGTCTACCGTCTACCGGTAGACCGGGTAGACGGTAGACCATTTGGTAGACGAGTCTACCGGTAGACCGTGATGAACCTACGACCGCAGTCTACCGGTAGACTTGGTAGACCGCGGTAGACTCGTCTACCCCTTTTTCAGCCGCCGAACGGTAGACCGCCGCCGCCGGACGGTAGACCGCCTCGGCCGTTTGAATATGCAGCCTCCAGTTCTCCACTCTGGCGCCACTTTGGCAGACGAGCGCCGGCAGATGCCCTCGCGGCCTGCCGGCGAACGTCCGTCCGGCGAGAACGCGCGATGAAAGTGCGGTCTGCCGCGCGGGCGAAATCTGCCGGTGAGAGAGGCTGTTGAGCGCGGTCGCTGTGAGCTTCACCTCATGCCATTTCCGTGCGAGGCGAGCTCCGTGTCTTTTATGAGATCAAATGAACGTCTTTACACACTCATCGGGCGGAACCGCTCAATGCAGAGCGCCGCCCTCTCGCGGCTCTCGAGAGCGAGTTTTCGCCAGACAGCCACACGTCCATTATGGCGCGCGTTCTCGCCGGACGGACGTTCGCCGGCAGGCCGCGAGGGCATCTGCCGGCGCTCGTCTGCCAAAGTGGCGCCAGAGTGGAGAACTGGAGGCTGCATATTCAAACGGCCGAGGCGGTCTACCGTCCGGCGGCGGCGGTCTACCGTTCGGCGGCTGAAAAAGGGGTAGACGAGTCTACCGCGGTCTACCAAGTCTACCGGTAGACTGCGGTCGTAGGTTCATCACGGTCTACCGGTAGACTCGTCTACCAAATGGTCTACCGTCTACCCCAGTCTACCCCAGTCTACCGGTAGACGGTAGACGGGCCACCCCTCAGGCTGAAACAGGGTACAGGCCCGCGGAATTCCAATGGGGAGTGCGCTATCGCCACCAACCACTGGCGATAGGGACTCTTGCGTGGATGGAGCACGAGTGGATGCAAACGCTCGAAGATGATGCGAAAGCGCGTTTCCGTATGAAGCGCTACATGGACGATGTGATCACGGTGACTGCGAAAGACGATGGCGCATGGGATGTCGATCAACACGCCGCTGCACGTCAGGGTCCACGACACCTCGTCAAATGTCGAGGAAGGAGAGCATTGCTAGAAATCGTATCCCGATGGACTGTGAACGAAGCTGAGCGCTTGGTGGTGAAAGGTGTCCACCACAGCCTCCAGCCACCAGCCTCCACCTCCACCGTCGAGCCGCGATCCCTGCCGCCCGCGACGCCGCCCGCCGCGTCGGATGCCCGCGACGCCCGCGGCGAGTCGAGTCGGAGAGCCGAGCCGCACCAGCAGCAGCATCTGCACCAGCAGCAGCAGCAGCAGCAGCAGCAGCAGCAGAGAGAGGCGCCAAATTTGAGGTTGCCCGAGACAGCCCGGAGATGGCCCCGCGTTGTAGCCCCGGTGCCGGCGCCTCACATCTCAGCATCCAGGGCCCGGTTCCGCCGCACAGTCGAGCAGGAGGAGCTCGGGCACAGTTTTGTCGACAAAGAGCTTGATCAAAATTTCGCCGAAGAAGCGGCACCGGCGGCACGCCGGGATGAATCCGGACTGTTCACATTGTTCGACACCGCGACGGCGAGCCGCCGCGGGCCCACAGGAGGCCTCCGAGCCGCGGCACCGGTCCGCGCCGCCAGCGGGGCGAGAGCACCAGCCTACAACCTGCCCCCCCGGCCGACATGGCAGTTGCGACGGCGCTTTCACACACACACACACACTCACTCGGGCTCCTGTGGTGCGGGCGACGGCTTCTGAGGAAGCCGTCGCCCGCGCCTCGCCTGTCGCGTGAATCGTGTCGTGCCAGCGCCTTTTCTTGTAAAATTCTTTTGGCAAGGCGTCTATTCGCTCTGCAAAGCAAAAAAGGAGCCCTGTGCTGTCCGTAGGCGCGGCTCGATTCTCTCCGGCTGAACCTTCCCGGTCAACAATGGGTTGGTCCCACCAGACGCGCCCTTTGCAAACCCTGCCGCAAACGGCAATTTCTATGGGCACGACGGGTGAAAGGAACTCCGCGTGCAACGTTTCGCTCGTTCAGCAACTCTCACGGAGTGCGTGCACTCAGCGCTCCTTCGGCTGCCTTGGTGACTCGATGTGGGTATCCAACTGCAGAGGACGCTTCAATTGCAGCGGCGCAACGGTGCTGTGTTCCCCCCCGGCAGTATGTACTACCGCTGCTCATGCTCCAGTGGCCGCGATGCGCAGAGTGTCCAGCAAGAGTATCAGTCGACCAAGATCAGGACGGATTCCATCCCTGGCACCAATGTTAAGAAGGTCGGCAGGTCCGTTCGCGCGGATCTAGAGGCGATGATCTCGGGCTACAACCCCGATGTGTACGACCGTCGCCTGACGCGGGAGCGGTACGACAACCTCACCGCAGCCGCACGTGAGAAAGCGGAGGTCTACTCGCAGCTGCTACCTGCGAGGGCGACGTGTGCCGTCGTGGGCTCGAGCAGCACGCTGCTCAAGGTGGAGCGGGGGCGGGAGATTGACCGCGCTGATGTGGTGATCCGGATAAACAGCGCCCCACTCGAGCCGATGTTCGCCGCCTTCACGGGCTCGCGCGAGACCCTGCGCGTGAGTACATACAGCGGGGAAGGCTCCGTGTGCGACCAAGCCGCAAGGGAGGGGCGCGCATGCCTGTATTACTGCCACACCGCTTGGTTGGGCGGATGCTGGTTGCAAGCCCGCGTCGACGGCGTGCCACGCCTCTCGCCGCGCTTCGTCGTGCAGGTCGCTCGGTCCCACTCTCTTGCGTCCAGCACGGAGCACGCTCCAGAGTTGCACCACTGGCCGTCCACGGGGTTGATCGCCTTCGAGGTGGCCAACCATCTGTGCAGGCGGGTATTTACGTACGGCTTCGGCATCGACACTGGCTTCAGCAACTGCACGCACTACTACAACGTACCACTGCGTGCCTCTCCCTCAACCACGGTCCTCCGGCGGCAGGACCTCGCCATGCAAGCGGCGTGCGTCTACCCGAAGCGCTACTCGATGCGCGTGCGCAACTCGCACGCGACGCACGCCGACTACCTCAACACATACTGGCACGACCTGAAGATCGAGGGCGCCTTCTTCGTACGGTACAACAGACAGGGGGGGTAGCGGTCGCGGCGCGTAATCGGTTTCTTTCGGAAGGGTGTTACACGAGTGAGAGTGAGTAAGCTGGCAGATGAGACGCTGTCGAAGGAGCTGAGGATCAAACGAAAGAATATGACGACGGAGGATCGGTCGCGAGTAGGGGAGTACGGCTTTACCGTTTACGGCGAACCAGCTGAGAACACGGACGGGACACTCGAGACGCAAAACGCTAATCTCAGCATGGCGCATTGGTTCTATCTAGATACAGAAAGAAAGGAGATCATGGCACACAAGATCCCATGGCACACCTCCAGACCGCGGCCCCTCTCGTAGCCGCAGCCGCAGTCGCGGCCCCACAACTCTTGCCGGATGCCGCGCTCTTCTGACGTGGGGTTGTGACGAGGGGTGAGGGGACGGATTGAAGATCCCTCCACATCAACATCGTGCAGGGCGGGGACACATGTCCCTAGATCCCAGTTCGTCTCAGAGTTTGACCGTTTAATTCTTCACCTCCTCCAAATCAGCCTACGCCGCTCACAGACACCGCCGGCACGCACTCCCACTTCACACGTGTTCAAGCACAACCCCACCAAAGCACAGCCCTGCTCAGAATGGGCAAGGTCCACCGCTTGGTGACCCAGGTAGCCTCTGGCTCGCCACTGCACTCGGCCCCTCTGCAGCTGTCTCGGGTTCTCCCCACGACAGCACCCCGACGGCAAGCTTTGACGCCAGGCCCCTGCCGGTGGTGGCCAAGGCAGTGCGGCCGTGTGCGAGTTCTTTTCGCGCCCTCACGAGCGGACTTTCCTTGCTGTCGCCCATGGATGGGGGGCGGAGGCGGAGCGGGTACTCGAGGTGCCGAGGGACTTGCGTCGAAACGGCGCGTATAGGGTCGCGATAAGTTTGAATGGATGGCGTGGGTTGAGGGTTGGTTGGTGTTCACGCGTGTTTTCCTACTATTGCAATACCTTCAGTCCCTGTGTGCGCAAATACATGTGCGGCTCAACCCCGGCCCCAGACCCCAGACACACGACTCACTCACGAGCAACAAACAGCATTGGGCGGCGGTGTGTGTGTCTGTCTGGCGAGCGAGGGAGCGGCGGTGGAGGCGGAGGCGAAACCCAAGGGAGGGATGGGAGGACGGCACGCCGCCACCACACAGGGATTTCAAGGAGAGGGGTGTGATGCGCTAGCCGTCGCCCACCCTTGGGCGTCCGCCTCTTCCTATCTCTCTTCGCATCCTCGAGAAAAAAGAAAGAAAGAAAACAGACAACCCAAGGGTCCTCGAGAACGCGGCCCAGGCGGGCACAATTGAAAAAAAAACCGCCAATGGCAGTTATCGGTTGTGCGGCCGTCGCCGCGGCTCGCCTCTGCCGCGGCGGCTGCTGCGCGCACGCGGCGGCGCCGCTCTCTCGCGAGACGGCTGGCGACGCGGCTCGCGGCCGACGTACGCTGCGCTCGTCCGACTGCCCGCGGCGTGGCGTGCGCGGCGCTGCGCGCCGCTCCGTGATTGTCGGCGCTGCGCCCCTTGGCGCCTGTGCATGTCCCGCGTGCCCGCCCGCCAAGGCTGGTGCCAAGGCCAACTCAACTGCCAAGGCTGGTGCCAGGGCCAAATCAACTGCCTGGCTGGTGCCAAGGCTCAAAGGCTCTCCTCTCTCTCTCTCCTCCCTCTCCACTCTCTCAACTTTCTCCCTCTCTCTCCCCTGAGACTCTCTCTGCTCGCTCCGCCCTCTCTCTCCCTCCCTCCCTCTCTCCCTCTCACCCCCCCCCTCTTCTCTCCTCTCCCCCTCCTCCTCTCCCCTCTCTCCTCCTCTCTCCTCTCCTCTCCTCCTCTCTCCTCTCCTCTCCTCTCCTCTTCTCATCCTCTCCCCTCTCCTCCTCTCCTCTCTCCCCCCCTCCCTCCCCCAGCAGCTTCCTCGAGGCCGAACAGGTAGACCCTCCCTGATCGCTAAGCTACCACAGGGGACTGCCAGGTAGTAGACGTCGTCCGCCGCCGCCTCCGCCACCCGCGTGCCTCCGCCCCGCGCAGCAAAAAATCAGCATTATATCAGGAGGTGCCAAAGCAGCAGCATCTCCATGAGGTGAGCGTCGTGCGTTTTGCCGCCGCGTGCCGCCGCTGCGCCGACTGGCTGCCGGTTCGAATCGTCCTTCGCGGAGCGAACGCGGCGACACGAGCGCACGTCGCGCGCGTGCGCGCCCGCGACAAGACGAGACAAGACGAGAAGAGAAGGAGAAGTTGAGGCGTTTATTTTTTTGTATTTAGCAAGCGAGTAGGCACCATAGCAAAATGGCGCTTTTCACGGTACTACTACACACGCGTGCATTCATCAATACATTCATGCACTTAGGAACCACCGCGGATGTCGCTCAACTCCTCCACATTAATTGAGCAGTATCCGCTCATCTTCTCGCGAGAGAGCGAACAGCGCTCCAAGCACGCCTCCGCCGCCGGCTCCGACGGAATCTCCGACGGAGTCTTCACTGAGCGGCTGCGCGCACACGCCGACGAGGAGTACTCGAGCAGCGTCTGTGCCGCCGTGAGGTCGCGGCTGGGCTGGCTAGCACTATTCCTCGTCGGCCTCTGGGGCGCCGCGTTCGTCATCGACTGGTTCGAGCACATGCTGCAGCGCAACGTCGAGCTCGCCCACTTCGTGCCGCTGATCATTGGCCACGGAGGCAACGCCGGTTCGCTAAGCCTAGACACACGAAACATATCGTGCGGCTGTATCAAGTTATACCAACATCTGTGCTTCACGGCGCCTCTTCGCCGGGGTGCCGTACTCTGCAGTCTGCCATCGGAGGCCTTGTGCTCACGCGGTGCACCGGTGGCACGGCACGAGACCGTCTTCACACACAAAGCACATTTCCGGACACACGCGCTCACACCCTGAAGCCGATGTAATCACTGTACGCCAGGCTCGCAAGCTGTTGGCAGCGTGATCCGCGCGCTCGCGGCCAAGGAGCTCGACCCGTCGCTGCGGCTCCGCCTAGATGCTGCGTCAAAGTCACTTTGAAAGTAGACATGAAATCGCTGATTGCCTCTTCTGGCACTCGAGAGGACACTTGGGCACTCGAGGAAAAGAAGAAAACGCAGGCGGGATCCGCGGGGTTAGGCACGGACGGGGCTCATACGCTGTGGACACTGACAGCGAACTATGAGAGCTCTGTTAAGAGAGATTCCCCAAGAGTGTCAGGCGGAGAGGAGTGGTGTGTGTGCGTGTGTTCACGGAGTACACACACACACACACACACACACACACACACACACACACACACACACACACACACACACACACACACACACACACATGCACCCACACCACTCACGCCGCTCACCCACGCGCACCGGGCCTTGCACTCTGAATGCCGCGGGGCTCCTGTCGTCTAGACGGGGAGACGCGAGGGACTAGCCTGGCCCTTGCCCCGCCGCCTTATCTGTGCCGAGAAGGGCGCCGGCCCCTTACCTCTCCTTACCGGCCCTTACCGTAGGCGCGCCACCTTCGCGCGGGTGGTTTCGCGCGAGACGCTGGTCGGCGGGCGGTGCGGCGGCGACACGGTCGACTATGACCCCGCTGAGTATGCATCGTTCACACTCAGGCTTGCGTGCCAGATGCGGAGAGAACAGGTAGGTAGGTAGGTAGGTAGGTAGGTGAAGAGCAGCCAGGCTCGGACTGGACACCAGCGCGGTATGGGTGGACAGAGAAGCGGCTGACGACACACTGGCCGCACACCGACACACAGCCCCTTGCGCTCTCTTCACACATAAACGCACAACCCCGCTGGGGAAAAGAAACACACGGAGAGAAGGACTCCAGGATCCCCTACCTTCACACTGCTGTGAATACGCACGTACCCATACTCGGGGCCCATAGCAGATAAACGCACCACCCCGGGCCCCGACATCGCACAGTGACAGTCAGACACGCGCTCTCTCCAACACCGTGGCTCTCGCAGCAGACACGGCTCACGGGGCCGACTACAGTGTACAGCGGAGAGGAGTGGCCAGACTCGCAGCCAGCCGGGCCAGACTCGCAGCCAGCCGGGCCGCAGGCGGAGACGCACCCCCCCCCCGGTGCGGGGATGACTGGGTGTGAGTGGTGAGTCGTTAGGTCGGCGGGCTGTGTGGCGAGAGTAGTTGGTGCGTAGTCAGAACGGCCAGGCGTGGTAATTAGGTCGGCGGGCTGTGCGGTGTCGCGCTGGGCGCGCTCTTCCTCTCGGTTGGCCTGCTCTGCCACCTCGTCTCCTTCCACGTTGGGGCCGCTCCGAGCTCGACCGACGGAGGCGGCAAGGGGAGGGGGCGCGCTGGCACTCTCACTGCAGCGGTGGACTGAGTAGGTGGTTGTCGCCGTGTCGCTGCCTCTGGTCTCTCTCTGGGCCAACTTCGTGGGGGCGCTCTTGATACACAGCCGAGAGACAGCCGAGAGACAGCCGAGAGGCAGCCGAGAGACAGCCGAGAGACAGCCGAGAGGCAGCCGAGAGACAGCCGAGAGACAGCCGAGAGACAGCCGAGATACAAGCTTCGTGGGGGCGAGACTGCAGCTAGGTAGAGAGGCGGCCAGACACCTAGGTAGAGACGGTCACAGAGGAGCGACACACGGCACACCCCGGCAGCCAATGCAGGCTCGAACCCGCTGAGGCCATCCCACGACGGAGCGGAGAGATAGCTCCGGGGGAGCATGGCCTGCCGAAAACCCCGGCCCCCCCCCCCCCCCCTCCCCTCCCCCTCCCCCCTCGGCGATCAGGCGACCCTTCCTCTGCTGGCAGCGCGGCTCGGATCGAACCCGGCGCTGACGTCGGCGCCGCTGATGACCACGGTCATCGACTCGAGCGGGCTGCTGATCTACTTTCTCGTCGCGTGGGCGTACTACGACTTTGGCGAGGCGCACCACCTGGTTGACCAGCACCACTCGCTGCCTCACCACCACGGCGGGCGCAGCACGCACGGCGGGCAGCGCGGGCCGGGCAGTCATCCGTTGAGGAATCTGACGGGCTTTTAGACGAGAGAATCGCCCCGCCGAAACAATCACCGGGGTTGGGGTTTTTGAAGTTGTGCTCTTAGACAAGTGACAACGCGGTCACACAGACAGATATTATGGAGATTGATTGAGATAATACTTACGTGGTTGGGTTCGAAAAAACTCTGACATTTTACGAACTCCTTGGCGACGTGCGCGCCGCGTCGCCAAGGCTCAGCGACCTCGGTCGTACAATCGGCCGGCTGCGCGGGTTTTCGGCGAGTTTCCCGCGCACCGGCCACGACGGACCAACCAGACCAAAAATCGCGACGCTCGCGCGCAAAAATCAGCACAGAATCAACGCTCACGACGCTCTCGATGATCTCGATGATTCGAGGATTTGAGGATGGTGAGGGGTGAGGGTGAGGTGTGCCCCCCCCCTCCCCCCCCGCCCGGCCTCGAACCCGCAGCCAACCGGCCCGAAGGCGAACCTCTGACCGCTACGCCAGCCACCAATGCACAAACCTCGACGCCACAAATTTCTGAACCCCATACACCCATGCACTCAGCTCACAATCAGCACCCTACACAGTATGATTCCCGCGCGTCTCGCGCCCCAACTGACAACTCACCATTGTCCCTCGGACACCACTCTCCAGCCGCGCTACTTTTGCCCACCCACCGCTCTCGCATGACATCTCGACAATCCTCATCTCTGGGCCCAGACTCCTAACCACTGCCCCTGCTCGCCCAGGACCACGAAGCGCCGCCCGCGCGCCCAATGACCCCCCAATCAACCCACGCTGTCCCTCAATCGCCACCCGCCAGATGTACTGCCCTCGCCCACCCAATACTCTCACCCTCCTAACCCGGACAGTCCAGGTACAGGAAAAGCGGGGAGCGGGGCCCGATCCAAGGAGCACCCCGTCGGCCCGGGAGGGCTGTGAATTTCGGCGCGGGCGGAAGGCTGCCTGCAGACGCTCAGCCCCCAGCTGAGCTGCCGAATCCTCCCGGCTAATCCCCTGACCTGCCGCCTGAAACGGGACAACATTACACCACCTCACACACACTCCCCCCTCAGGGCTAAGCAGTGCGCAAGTCCACCCGAACTCTAGGCGAGGCGTCGACCACTCCTTCGGAATAGCTCTGTCAGTGGCTGCACTAGACGCCCAGTGATGGCGCGCGGCGCGGGCGGATGACTGGAAGAGAAAATGCGGAGATGCTAGCTCGCAGGTAGATGTGCTCACAGCCAAGGGTAGGGGATGAGGGGAATGTGTCAGTGTGAGGGGTGCACCAACCGCAGAGCGTTGTGTTTTGCCTTTGAAAACTGAACAGTTTTTTTTTTGAGCTTAGCCTTCGGTGTTATGAAACAACGCAAGGCGGACATGGCATATCGCTCTCGGGCCCACAGACATCCCGCACACTCGCCGCACACCCGCCGCCCCCGCGCGCGCCCCACCCCGGCCGGGAGAAAGGGGAGTGACAGTTTGGGATGGCAACAGCCCGAGTATGTTGAGTCCTGGCTCAACAACGCAGATAACAAGAGGGGGTGGTCCGGCTCACAGGTCCGGCTCACGCGCCTCGAGCTGACCCTCTACCGCACTGGTCACTTCCGCCCCCTCGCTCCCAACCCATCCACCCCGCCCCGGGCCGCGCCGCGCGATCTCGGGCGATCTCGCGCCATCTCGGGGCCGCGCCGCGCGATCTCGCACAATCTCGCGCTATCTCGGAGCTCCACGCCACGCCGCCCCAACACTTTACCTATGACCCCGCGTGGATCCCGGTACAGCCTAGATCCAGTGAGGGAGGAGCGGCGACGCTACCTCGAACCCCCCCTCCCGCCACCCACACCCCCCTCCCGCCCCCCCCTCCCCCCCCTTCCCCCCCCCCCCCCACCCCCCCCCCCCCCCCACCCCCCGCCCCCCCTCCATCCCCCCCCCCCCCGAACAACCCCCCCCCCCCCCCCCCCACCCCAGGCCTCCCCCCCCCTCCCCCCCCCCCCCCCCACCCCCCCCCCCCCCCCCCTCCCCCCCCCGTGACCCCCCCCCCCCCCCCCCCCCAAGCCCTACCCCACCCCCCCCCCCTACCCCCTTCCCCCCCCCCCGCCCCCCCCCCCCCACAATTCCCCTGCCCCCCTCCCCCGCCCCCCCGCAGCCCAACCCCACCCCCCCCCCCCCGGCCCCCGCCCCTGCACCCCCCCCCCCCCGCCCAGACAGGACTGATCCGCACGACACACGACACACTCTCTCCTACTATCCGACAGACGCTGCTTGACCGACACGGGACGCTCTGACAGGACACTACTGTGACGACTACCTCTACTCCCTACCGCTACTACTCGACTGGCGGCGCTCGCGGCGCCACGCCGCCCATCCTCGGCCACGCGTTGCGCTGGATGATCTCCCAGTTGCGCCTCGCAATGATGGCCGAGTGCTGCTGCAGGAGGCGCTTGCGCTCGTTGCGCACTCGCCACTTCTCGCCGTCGGAGCGCGCCAGGGCGACCTTGGCGGCGAAGCCGGTGGTGAACCACTCCGCCGCCTCGCGGCCAATGCCGCCGCGTGTGCTCGCCGCCCACGTCATGAAGTCGTAGTTGTTGGCCGCGCCCGCCGCGGCCTTGGCACTCCGCTTCGCCAGTCGCGCCGCCCGCAAAGAAGCCAGCGCAGCCGCCAGCAGCGCAGCTCGCAGCATGGCCCGCAGCGCAGCCCGCAGCACAGCACGCAGCAGCAGCAGGAATGGTGGGCAGAGTTGTCCCCGATGCTCTCAGAGAGGCTGATACGGGGACAACAGGGTGGGACTGCTGCACCGGAGGAGCAGGAGGAGCCGTGGCGGCAGCAGAGGGCAGAGGGAGCGGAGGCAGAGGCGGCGGCGGCGGCAGCAGAGGTGGGGGCAGCAGAGGCAGAGGGGAGGCAGAGGCGGCAGAGGCAGCGGCAGCCCGAGCCGCGTCGCCAGGTGCCGAGCAGCAGGTCCATGGCGCCGCCGAGCAGCAGGTCCATGGCGCCGCCGAGCAGCAGGTCCATGGCGCCGCCGAGCAGCAGGTCCATGGCGCCGCCGAGCAGCAGGTCCATGGCGCCGCCGAGCAGCAGGTCCATGGCGCCGCCGAGCAGCAGGTCCATGGCGCCGCCGAGCAGCAGGTCCATGGCGCCGCCGAGCAGCAGGTCCATGGCGCCGCCGAGCAGCAGGTCCATGGCGCCGCCGAGCAGCAGGTCCATGGCGCCGCCGAGCAGCAGGTCCATGGCGCCGCCGAGCAGCAGGTCCATGGCGCCGCCGAGCAGCAGGTCCATGGCGCCGCCGAGCAGCAGGTCCATGGCGCCGCCGAGCAGCAGGTCCATGGCGCCGCCGAGCAGGTGTCGCCGCCGCATGCGTCGCCGCCGAGTGGAGGCGCGACCGCGGACGCGGCGGGCGAGACGCCGTTCACTGACTGTCCGCGCGTGGCGCTGGGAGCGAGCAGGGAGGCCACCATGCGGAGAGACGTGCCCGCCGACGATTTTTTTTATTGTTTTTTTTTACGTGGTTGGGTTCACAGCGGTTGTAGCTTTCGTGGGGGAACACTTGACGGTCGCCGCGGCCTTCCGTCACTTCCCGTGCCTGGGCCCTGGCCGTGCATGACACAGAAAAATGCGGTACACGCGCAGGGGTGAATCGCCTCTCACTCCGCCTCGCAAAAGTCCCTTCCAGCCCAACAACGCCAGTCCTGCACGTGTCGTGTGCCAGTCCCCCCCCCCCTCTGCGAAAAGAAAGAAAAAACATTTTGCTCCATTTAAGTCATAAACCCCTCTCTGGGTCGCCCCCCCTTGCCCCGCCACCACCTCGTGTGTGTGGAGAAGTTTACCTTACCTTACCTTACACCAATCTCTAACTTTAGCTAGGCACGGGACTGCGGACTCTGGGGCGCGCGCACACTGGCACTCACGCACAGGGTCCGTCCCGAAAGAAAGAAAACCGGCACCCCAAGGGAGGGATGGGAGGACGGCACGTTGCCACCTGCGAAATCTTTTTTCAGGGTTTCAAATTCCTTTTTCTGAGAGCGCCCCCCTAGTCACAGGCTCAGGCCCACGATCACTCGATGGCCGCCCGTCCCGTTCCGCCCGCCAACCACCGACGGCGTCGGTGGCCGCCCGATACACCCCCAAGCTCCACTACACTCTAAACTTGATCGACGCCACACGCATAATGGCAGCTGTTGCTGCGGCTGCTCCCAGCACGGCAGAGACTAGCGCCGTCCGCCAGGGCGGCGGTGTCTGCCACAAGCTTGGCAGTGTTGCATGTGCCGCCACTGCCGCCGCCGATGCCGGCTCCAGCGGCGTAAACACTGCCGCCGGGTTGGCGTGGTCAATCAGCTCCATGATGCCAGGCATCTCGCACGGGAGGGGTGACGCGTTTGGCAAGTCGTACCTGCCCGTCACTGGATCACGGGGGACGGCGAGTTGAGGGAGTCTGGTGTCGATCACGCCCCTGATCCGCTCAAAGGCAAACGCGTTGCCGGCGGTGTTGTAGTGGACCCCGTCGTGGCTAAAGTCGCTAAACGGCCTGCCCGTCGAGCTCATCGCTGCGTGCATGTCGAGAAACTCGGCTCCGTACGCTGCGGCGCAGCGACTGGCGATCTCAGCGTACTCGGCCGAACTCGCACTGCTCTGACCGGCCTCTTGATCGTCCACCTTGGGTGGCGGTCCGATAACAATGATTGCGGCGCGACCTCCGGACGCCGTCTGGATCCTGCCGAGGATTGCACGCAGATTCGCCTCATACTCGCTGGCCGGCAGGTGGACTTCAGAGCCTGGCAGCATCGAGTCGTTTGCGCCCAGCCCGACAGTCCAGAGCGCCGCGTCGGAGAGCTCGCCGGGGAGCAGGCGCTGCAGCGCAAGGTGGGCGTACAGCGTGTTGTAGCCCGCAAATCCACGGTTCAAGACGTCCGCTCGACGGCTGAAGTACTCGGTCAGGCGCTGCCCCCAGCCGCCAGCGTGGAAAGAGTACTGCGTGATGGAGTCGCCGAAGAGGACCACCTTTGTGCGGCCTCCGTAGCGCGCGGTCGCTGGCGCCTCCGTCATTGTGGATTAGAGACGCCCTCGCACTCGATCGCACGCACGGGACTGGCACTGTCTAACAAGCAAGAGAATTTACAAGCGCCTAGGCAGCGCGTGCACGGGAACCCGCCGGAGCACGCCGTCTTTGACCGGTGGCACTCGACACACGCGGGCACGTTCCGGACGAGCAGCGACGGCGAGCGAGGCGCCTGCTCGCGAGTATAGAGGTCCGAGCAGAGACACTCTCAAACGATTTCTGGACGATGGAGCAGCGCCGTGTCGGCGACGGCCGGACTGGGGCTCATTTGGCCGGGACTCGCGTGGGTCAAGGTGGTGAGCAGCAACGCGCATCGCTCGGCCGTCTCCCTGTGAGCCCCGTGCGCCGCTGCGCTGGCAGCCTCGGCGACGCTAGAGCCGGCGCCGACGGTGGAGGGCAGACGAGTCGGAGGAGGCGGCAGCACCTCCGCGCCCCGCGGCCTCGGCTGCCACACGATCGACGCGGGCGGCTCCACCTTGGCGGCGGCGGGTGCGCCGCCGCAGGCCGCTTGAGCGCCGTTCGGGCCCGCCGCCTGGCCCGACCGTCGGCCGTCCAGCGGCGCGACCAGCAGCGCGAGGAAATTCTCGGCTGCGCGCAACAACGCGTCCAGGCCTCGTAGCGACGCAAAGGCGCGGCGTTCGACCCAGGGCCCGAGGGACGGCGTGAGCGCGATTTGCGACGACTTGTCGTGCTTCTTCAAGATCTTGCGCACCGCGACGCGGTTTAGCTCGGCATACCCTCTCAGCCAGTCAACACCTGCCGACGGGTTGCGGCCGAGGGTGGCAAGAGGACGCGGCAGTGAGCGGAGAGGCAGCGGGCAAGGCTACAGTAGGACCGGAGCAGAGGACGTCCATCTCCTCAGAGACGGCCGCCAGCTCGGCGCCCGACACTTGCGACGCCGTCCGCAGCGCGGCCAGACGCCTGGTCAGGAGTCCGACTTGCGCAGTGAAGAACGCGTCCACGCTGCTGACGGCGTCGCAAAGCTTCGCAACGAAGCTGCCCTCTGTAGCTCCGAGCCCCGCCTCGCCTGCGGCGCCCGCCTTGAGGACCTTCTTGAGGGACTTGTATGGGATGTAGACCTCGTCCCAAGGCGGCCACTGCGCAGCTCGGAGCGTCTGGCCGAACTTCATCCTTCAGAACCACCGACGGAGTAGTCACGCGCGGCAAAAGAATTTTACACCGCAGTCTGAGGAAGCTGTCGCCCGCGCCTCGCCTGTCGCGTGAATCGTGTCGTGCGGCAAAAGAATTTTACAAGAAAACTCCCTCGCACAAAAGAATTTACAACAGGCGGTCGCACGACACGATTCACGCGTGGTGGCGGCGTGCCGTCCTCCCATCCGTCCGTTTGTATGTTTTCTTTCTTTCTTTTACGATTCACGCGACAGGCGAGGCGCGGGGCTTCCTCAGAAGAAGTTTACAACAAAGGGCGGTCGCACAACCCCGCCCCCCCCCCGACCCGACCCAAACCACCCCGCCCCGCCCCGCCCCGCCCCCCTCACCGGCTAAACCCTGAAGCCGCACTTAGCGACACAGGCTCACAGGGGTGGTGCGGTGGTCCTCCGGACTGGCGCAGGTGTCGTCAAGAAGCAACAGGAGGGGTCGGATGTGTATGAGTATGGCTCGGACTGGACAGCACCGTACACTACCGGGTGAACGCGAGATGGTTTCTTGCATTTTTGCTCTCTGAAAAAGAGAGCAAGCAAGCCCACCCACGCTTATATAGTCACCATTCTTACAGTGGTGAAGCTTGCGCATCGGCTGCAGCCTCTGCTGGGGCGGAATGCGCGGGGTTTGCGGCGCGATGCCCTCGGCGAGTACACGCTACGTGTCTGCCGCAAGCTCTCCTGCGCGCGCGTGACGTGTGGGACGCGTGCGCTGCGCTCAAACGTCGCGATTTGGCAATAGGCGCGCGAGCCGGCGCACAGCGGACGGGTGCGCCGCGCAGGGGCGCCGGCGTTCCACGCGAGAGGCAGATCCAGATGGGGTGCGTCCCCGATGTCCGAGACTCGGACAGGGGATACAGCCTGATTTACAGCCTCTGGGGCGACCCCCCCCCCCCCCCCCCCGAGACCAGCCCCTTGGAGTGTGAAGGCTTCGTAGCCCTGCGGTCTACTACTGAAGGATCCGCAGGACTGGAGCGAAAAAAAGCAAGCGAGTGCGCGGAGACCCAGGTGGAGAGCCAGAGTGCGCGGGCGCGAACCAGCATTACGCTCTACTTTACACGACCCTCGCGACTCTACGTCTAAAGTATCATGGCATTCAATGTGTGCTCCGGATCGTCAGTCCACTCCGGATCGTCCCCCCTCTCGGTGCGGCGCAACGCCGCCAGGTCACGGGGTCGCGACATCGCTGCTCGGCGTTGCCGGCGCCCTCCCCGGCCGTCACGGCCCGCCACGGCCCCTCCACGCCGCGCCGCCGCCCACCGCGGCCGCGGGCAACCCGCCGACGGTGGGGGGCACCTCGATGCGCGCGGAGATTGGCTCCTGCAGCACCGTCACGACGAGCACGAGGGAGGCGAAGAGGGCGGTCGAGCAGATGCCGACGAAGACGTACACGGCGCCCATCGACGCGTCGTCGAACAGCGCGAAGAAGAAGACCACGACGGCGCCCCAGACGGAGCCGGAGCCGACGTAGAAGGAGGCGAAGGCTAGGTTGGAGATCCAGCGGCAGTGGCGCCTAAGACGAGGGATGAGGTACTAGTGAAGAAGGCGAGGTCGGAGATCAGGGGCAGTGGCGCCTAAGACGGGGATGAGGTACTAGTGAAGAAGGCGAGGTCGGAGATCAGGGGCAGTGGCGCCTAAGACGTAGGGATGAGGTACTAGTGAAGAAGGCGAGGTCGGAGATCAAGTGGACAGGGGCCGGGGCCGGGGCAGGGGCACGGTCAGGGGCAGGGTTAGGGGCAGGGTTAGGGGCAGGGTTAGGGGCAGGGGCAGGGACAGGGGAAGGGTTAGGGGTCAGGGCTAGGGGCAGGGGCAGGGGCAGGGGCAGGGGCAGGGGCTAGGGGTGCCTCGCCTCCAAAACTCGTCAAAGGTCTGGATGCGGCCCGAGGCACGCATCGCCGCGTGGAAAGCGCTCGCGCGCTCGTCCCCCTCCCTCCCCGCCGGCCACGCGTCTCGGAAGCCGCCGCCGCCACCGCCACCATCACCGCCACCATAACCGCCGCCGCCGCCGCCGGTGCTGGCCGGCGGGACTGGCGTGGCGCGAGCTGAGCCTGGGGAGGCGCGCGCAGAGCTCGCCGGCTCCGAGATGCGCGCGTACTGCGAGTGGAGCTGCGCGGGGCTCGCTCCCGGCCGCGCCGCGCCGTCCATCGAGAGGCGGCCGTCAGGGCCGCGCTGCCACGAGGGCGCGCTGTGCAGGCCGGCCGGCGGCACCGCGCGCTGGGGAGGCCGCGGCGGCAGTCGCACCCTGCCGGCGCCCGCCCTGGCCGCCTCGCCCGCCCGCCCGGCCGCCGGCGCCGAGGAGGAGGAGGAGGCGGCGTCGTGGGCGCGAGAGGGCGAGGAGTCGCCGCTCGTTGCCGGCGGGAGAAGGGCGTGGCCGAGGTCGAGGGGCCGCCGCTGCGTCGCCTGGCCCGAGGAGGAGTAGTATTATTATTAGTATAGTAGTAGTAGTAGTAGTAGTAGTAGTAGTAGTAGTAGTAGTAGTAGTAGTAGTAGTGCTGCATCGCCTGGCCCGCGGGGGCGCCGGACGGCAGCAGCCGCGCAGTGTCCGACTCGTCCTCCCCGGCTGCCGAACCGCTGTGGTGTCCCAAAGGGGCCGCCGCCGGCGGCGGCGGCAGGTAGGAGAGCTGGTCGAGGCTGCCGCCAAACGAGGGCGGGCGGCTGGGGTGGCGGCCCGCGCCTACTCATTCATACTGACCGACTAAGGATCAAGGAGGGATGACTAGTAGCAGAGGCTGGGGTGCGGCCCGCGCCGTGCTCGACCGCCCTTTGCCCTGCCGAGGTCGACTCGAGGGCTCGGATCAGCTCGCGCTGCAGCGAGACCTGCGAGGCGAGAGATGGGCGAGAGGTGGGCGAGAGGTGGGCGAGAGGTGGGCGAGAGGTGGCCGAGAGGTGGCCGAGAGGTGGCCGATCAGCCTCGCGCACAAGGGGCGGGGGCTCCGAGCACTTTTGTCACAGACCTGCGCCATTCGCATCGAGTTGAGCCGCTGGCCGGGGTTGGACGCCTAGAAAACGAAGCACACACGCCCCTCACACATCCGCATCGAGTTGAGCCGCTGGCCGCGGTTGTACGCCTCTGGCAACTCGGTGCTGTAGCCCGGCACGCGCCGCTCGTCGATCGCCCGCAGCAGCTCCTTCCAGCGGCGCTGCGCCCGCGCGCGGCGACCGACAGAGGTGGCCTCCTCCTCGTCGCCCTCTAGCCCGCGCTTGCGCGGCGAGGGCAGCGACGAGATGTTGGACGCGTCGGCGGCGAGCATGTCTGCAGACTTGATGATGAAGGACAGCCGCTCGACGAGCTTGCCGGTGCGCGAGATCATGTAGATGGACATGCGGCGCGAGACGAGGAGGCACGAGACGAGCGAGAGGAAGAGCGTCGACAGCGCCACCGCCTCGAAGAAGGAGAAGACGATCACGGCCATGCCACTGTCGTTCAGGTCAAAGTTGCCCTCAATGATCGCCGACATGCCGACGCCAAACATGAGGATCGAGGCGAGCATCAGGTTGTTGAACTGCCCGTTCCGCTGCTCCCACACGTCGCGGTCCGCCTCCTTGGCTGCCGCGAGCAGCTCGGCGATCAGCTGCTGGTAGTGGTGCTCGGCCGCAGCCGCGAGCCCACGGACGTGCAGGTCCCGATCGACCTGGACGGCGTTCTGGTGCGTCTGCCGCGTCTCGTGGATGCTCCAGAACGAGGCGCCCAGGCTGAGGAGGTCCAGCGCCGACTTCATGCAGCGAGGCGAGGAAAGTGGTGGAGGTGGCGCCGGACTCCTCGCCGACGAGCGCCAGCTGGCCCAACTGGAAAAAGAAAACCCGCTGAGTGCCCTCCCGGGGCGGGGCGGTGGGCGGGCGCGCGGTGCAGTGCGGCGTGTGTGTGCGAGTGAGTGACTGCTACCAGCGACCATGGGCTTGTATTATTAATAGAAGGCTGTATGAGCGGACTCGGCATGGTGTGCGGCCGGCCCTGCGCCACCGCCACGCTCCGGTGGGTGTCGGTCGTGGGCCTGACGCAATGAGATTCGCCCCGTCCGTAACGTCTAACCGCCCGCCGCGCATAACTGACTCCTCATCACCTCCCTGCTAACATACACTAACCGCCCGCCGCGCTAACTGACTCCTCATCACCTCCCTACGAACATACATATGTAGTAAGGTGAAGAACAGTCAGGCTCGGACTGGACACCAACGCGGTATGGGTGGACGCAAGACAGATGATGACGACACGCACGAGCGACACACAGACACAAACAAGCTCACTCCGGTCGCCCTCGTGCGTCCGCTGCCGCCGTCGCATCTGCTCAAGCGTGGACATCACCCAACTTGGATGATCAGTGCACAGCCGCTCGGCGTCCGCGATGTCTTTAGCAGCTTGTGGATACGTCAGCGACGGTCGGAGCGCGTCGAGCGCGGCAAACTCAGCCGCACCCTCAAACATAGCGCGGCTAAACAGGCCGTCAGCCCACGAGGCGGGCCCGTCCCTGGGTTCCAACTTTTTCCGGGGTGTCGCCATTCCTCGTGACGACCCGGCCGCGGCGCACGTGGGCGGCTCCTTCGCCTTCGCGCTCATATACTACACTGGCTGCAGCTGCGGGGGCCTCTTCCCGGACGCGGTGCCGACCTCGTGCGAGTACGAGCCGCTGAAGCAGCAGGTGCGGATGCTCCGCTTCATTAAAGGCCTCAACGCATCCTGGGGCAGGATCGCGCCGCTCTCGCCCATCACAGGGCCGTGGGCGGCGCGGAACCGCGACTGGACGGAGGACGACTGGGAGTGACAGTCGCGACGTCGCAATCGAGACACTCTGGTCCGACAGCGGGCGGCGGGCGGCGGATCTCCGCGCAGCGCAGTACGGCTCCCCATGTACGTCAACCTCTGGAGTCTCGATCTCTGGGGGGGCGCGGGGGCCCCCGGAGGCACCGTGCGCCGCGCAGCAGTGCGGAAACGGGGCCCCGGCTCTATTAGTCTCTACTAGTGCTGACCGCCGACAGATCACTCCCCAGACAGGCCGACGTCTGCACGCGGCCGGCCGGGCGAGAGGCTTGACACGATCCGACCCTGCGACCCTGACGCTGCTGCTCTAGCTATCAGACATGCACTGCTGACTGCTGCCACAATGTGCGACCGGTGCTGGCCCACTTGGCGGCCTTCCCGGTCAGTGGTGAGGCGCAGTTCAGAGCTGTCGATGGCGCGATGCCGCACTGGTCCCACATCGGTGACACGAGACCACCAAGTTTGCCGGTCCAAGAGAGAGGCATCGGCGCTGTCCTGAGAAGGTGCGTGGTACCTCTTGACTGCCCATGCGCGCGAGGCTGTGTAGGCATAGCCTCGAGAGTGCCAGCAGCCAATCCGAGGCGACGCGCATTGCGCCAGAAGCGTGCACACGATGGAAGGACACCCCCCTACTGACCGTACGATCAGGTCGTCACTGAATGCTTGATACTAAGGCCGCGAGCTATGCAGGTGATCAATTGTGCATCATGGCACACGGTCAGCAGCGCCGACAGGCTGTCGCAAGGCAGGCGTGATAGCATGGCCGCAAGTACGCCGAATTCCCATGAAACAAGTACAAAATCGCGCAAAAAGATTGTGAAATTATTATTCTGAGAGTCACGTGAAGGAGAGGACATAGGCGGCCGTGCCGTCGAGGAAGCCGCTCATCACACCGAGCTTGCCTATGCCACTCCGCGTCTCCGATCGAGCCGAGTCGAGTGCACGCAAGAAACCGCGGTTTCTCCTCGCCGGACAGCGAGGCGCGAGCGCCCGCTGAGGAGAGAAGAGCGTCGTGAGCCACCCCATGTGGAAGGGCGGCGCAGCGTCTCGCGGGAAGGCCACTCAAGTGCCCGCCGTATTTGGCCGTTCGCATTTTCTTTTTCTTTTTCCGGCGCGCGGGCACGGGGTTTTCTTTTTATCTTGAACCCGCGCGCCGTAACGATCGACAGTGAGATCTGGTTACTTTCACGTTCACACCGCGTCGCTGAAGGATAGAGACAGGCGGCCCGGGGGAGCGAGTTTGTGCATGCGGCACGAGCAAGCCGGGCCTGACTGACTGACCTACAAAGGAAAGGTCGTCGTGGCGCAGGCTCGGCGGCTGCGACGTATGGCAATCGACTTACAGCAGGGCAATGCTGCCGATCCGCCCCGATCCCATTGGCGCCAGTGTCTCCCACGCATTCAGCGCCGGATCGTACCGCTCGACTGAGCTGAGGCGGCCGTAATTGGATTGGCCCAAATTGAAGGATTCGCCTTCGCCGCCCACAGCATACAGCTTGCCGTCAAGCACCGCGACTGCGAGCTCGTCTCGAGCCGACGCCATCGGCACCACCTCCTCCCACGCATTCAACGCCGGGTCGTACCGCTCCACTGAGCCGAGGAAGGAATCGCAAAAGCCGCCCACAACGTACAGCTTACCGTCGAGCACTGCCACGCCGGAACGCTGACGCGCCGTCGCCATCGGCGCCACCGCCACCCACGCATTCGTAGCGGGATCGTACCGCTCCACCGAGCTGAGGACGCCGCCGCCGCCGCTGTACCCGCCCACAGCGTACAGCCTGCCGTCGAGCACCGCGACGGCGAGATCCTCCCGAGCCACAGCGATCGGCGCCACCGCCTCCCACGCGTTCGTCGCGGGATCGTACCGCTCGACCGAGCTGAGGTAGTGGTCGGCGCTGTTGTCGTACCCGCCGACAGCGTACAGCTTGCCGTCGAGCACCGCGGCGTGCGAACACCGTGCCGCTGCCATCGGCGCCGCAGCCTCCCACGCTTTCGTTTCAAAGTCGTACCGCTCCACTGAGTTGGAAAGTCCAACTCCGCTGGAGAAACCGCCGACCGCGTAGAGCTTGCCATCCAGCACCGCCATGCTGGCACCTTCCCTATCCGTCGGCATCGGTGCCACAGCCTCCTCCTCCCACTCGTTCGTCGACGGGTCGTACCGCTCCATCGAGCTAAGGGTATCGTTGTTCTCATCGCGGCCGCAAAACACGACCAGGCGCGGCCTCTCGCGCTTCTTCAGCGTCTCCTTCCAGCCGCTGCGCCACGCGCGGCACGTCCCCTTGGCGGCGTGCTCCGTGGTCGGCAGCTGGGCGAGGATGTGCGGCACGAGGTCCGGCGAGAGGAGGACGGAGAGGACCGACTCGGGCTGCTCCACGAGCCGTGCGGCGTGCTCCTCCGCCACGCGCAGCGCGGCGTCGCTCGCGCCCGCCTGCGCCTCGATGATGGCGCACAGCTGCGCTGGCGAGAGGCCGCGACGCGCGCGCCGATGCGGTGCGAGGCCATGCGAGATTGATTTCTTTTTCCGAGGCGGCTCCCGTGGTGTACCTGTGTTAGTGCCAGTGCGAGCCAGTCCCGTGCCCAGTCCTGTGCCCAGTGTTGTGCGAGGGAGTTTTGTTGTAAAATTCTTTTTCCGTACCGCCAAACCTCGGCTCGGCGCTTTGATGCCTTTGCCGCTGCGCTCTACACGCTCTTCCGCAGCAGTTTGCTGTTCCATTGAGTGTGTGTGAGTGTGTGTAATCTGCCGAGCGTGTCCTCGTGTGGGCTGCTCCGAGCACCGAGGGAGGGGGCCCTGTGTGATCCGCTGGGGTCCCCTCTAGCTTTATCACTCGCTGGTCCCCTTCCTCTCTTGACCCCAGGTGCGTGCCGCTGTCTTGCGCCGGTTTCTTCCCTCCGAGGTAGAGCGTCCTGGCCTTCCCCTCCACTCGGATGTCCGTCCTGGTTCGCCCTTCTTCAAACGTGTGTTCTGTCATGTTGGGTGCGCTTGTGCACACCCCGTTTACCTCCCTGCTGTATTCCATGAATCGATCGAGCACATCGCTCCACGACGGATCATTACTCTTTCCGTCGCATGTCTCTAGTGCTCTGTCTGCTTGCGCTGCCTCCGGCCCCGATCTACCTAGTCTTCTGCGGTGTTCTAGCCACTCTCGGAAGGACGCCGCTTGCCGTCTCATGCCTTGCGCGTGCATTAGCTCCCGCTCCCATGTGTGGGGCATCTTATCGTGCCACACCCAGCTGTCGCTCTGCTCGCCTTCCCATTCGCAGAGGTACTCCCATCCGTGTTCGTCCTCCTCCGTGCCTCCCCCGTAGCAGGTCGGCGCCTTCCTTGCCGCCTTCACCTTGCGCACCCTATCGGGCGCCCTCCGTTCCGTCTTCTGTCCGTGTGCGCGCTCTTCTAGAAAGATGAACAGGCTCACAAGTCCTCCGCAACAGGTTTTCTCAAATCTCTCGACGGCGGCTGGAGTAGTGAGTCCAGGATTGTGCCTGTGGCGGGCTTTCGGGGGGAGGATTTTGATGCTGAGATCCTCCTCCTGCCCGAATCTGACCTTTGTCGACCAGGTGTGCACGGCGGAAGAGGCCGAGCAGGACGGGTGGGACACCAGCGAGGAGACGCTATCAAATCCATACGAGCCGCCGAGCCCCGTCCCGGACGGGCTCGCCGATTCTCTGAACGCCGACGTCCATACGCCGTACGCCCGCCGCGGAACCTGGCCAATCCAACGGTCCGACCCGCCCGCCCGCCCGTCGCTCACCGCCTGCTTCGCGCACCGCCACCAGCCGCCGCCGCTCGACGCCAAACCTGCGTCTCCCAGCCTCAAGTCGCGATCGCTTTCGCGAACGAGGACCCTGCCCTTGGCTTTGGCGGAGACGAAGACGCCATCGACGACCGACGCACGCGTTGGCGGCTTCGACTTCCGCGAGTCAATGTCTCTCTCCCCGTCGTCCTCCGGGAGGTCCTCGCTCTCCTCGTCGGAGCGGTGCGAGGTCCCTTCGGAGCTGCAGCTCACCCTGTCCGAGCCGCCCATCCGCCGGACCGTCTCCTTTGGCGAGGGCGTGAAGCTCGAGGCGACCCCCCCCCCCCCCCCCTCCCCCTCCCCCTCCGCCCTCCCCCCCGCACACGTTCACATCACTCGGCAACGCCTTCTCGCACAGCTTCGCAGCCCCCGCAGTCTTCCCCCCCCACACACCCCCACCCCCACCCCCACCCCAGCCCCTGCCTCCCGCCCGCCCGCCCGCCCCCTCCCCTTTTGCCCCCCACTGTGCCGACGCGTCTACTTTCCCTCTGCACAGAGCACCTTCCTCGTCCCGGACACCCACTACTCCGCGCCGAGCTGGGGCCGCGCCTCGTCCGTCAGCACGATCGA